TGGATTTAGCAAGCAGTTAATGCAATGTTTTTTTTCTATTTTCTATTTGGCTTTTTGAAATTCTCTTATATAGTGTCCTACTTATGAAATGTAATTTGATCAGAGGAAATCTGAGGACACTCAATGACACCATGGTAAATGTTTTATTTTTGATTAGTGATCTATCATCTAGAAAAATGGACCCACTCATATAAGTACAGTACATCCAGTACATACATGTCAAGTTGTGCTTAAAAAAAGTTCAGCTTTGTCCTTGTTCATTAAGGCCTATTCCCCCAAAGTGGAGACAGATGTGAGGATTAAATGGAGCATAACATTTCTAATGCTGTGAAGCAACAAATCAACTGAATATACTTACTGTCAATTCTGGTAAGGTAAAGCTCTGTGGTGAGAAAATTGCAATACAGTAATTTCTCATTCAATAAAACATTAACTTGGCCATGTTCTCTGCTATTTCTGACAATGTCAGCAAACACCTCACAGCTTGTAAACTCTGAGCTTTCAGAAACTTCCAAGGTTGTGAATACAACAATAGAGGAAACTCCTAGTAACCACTTTTTTTGGATTTGAACAGTTTTATATCTTGGTACAGTATATGGTAGGGTTGGGTGATATGCAAAATATTTCCAATTGGCCACTGTCAGCCCAACAACTGCTGATTGACGATATTGTTTGTCAGTTGTGTGTCTGTTTACAAAAACATACACTGAGGCAAAGGCCTGTATCAGTGAATGCATTTACGGATATTTGTTGAAAGTGGGATACAACATCACCTATTTGGAACTGAAACTGAAAACAAACCTAAAGGAAAGGAAACATGGGTAAAAGTCCATAAACCAGAGTCTAATTATAAAACAAAAACTCTTTATCTAAGAGTCCAGAGTCCTGACATAAAATGCATCTGTCTCCTCTGACCTCTTGTGATCAGATCTCATTTAACTATATGCAAATAATTACGGAAGAATAATGTTTTTATCCAGAGCTTACAGAAGCATCCAATGACTCTTTGTGTGTGTGTCTGCATGTCACCGCAAGCGAGAGAAAGAGCAAGCGAGGAGGCAGATCATTATAATAGCAAAAACACTAGTAGGTAGGAGGGTAGGATGTTGTTACAGTCCCCAGACCACCAGGACAAGTCTGGTTTGGGGAGTCAGCAGCTTTTTGCTGCTCATTGGCCACTGAGTCAGAGTCAGAGTTCTTGCTCCCAGTCTCACTGTGTGAATTTGGAGTTTTGTCCTCTCCGTCACACTTGACTCTGGGTTTGTTTTGTCAAAGGTAAACTCAGAGGGACTGTGGATTAGCCTGAAACACGATACTGTAAATCCGCTTAAGCATTCTACCATTAATCAGTGCATCTACACTGTTAACGTCTGGGCTATACGGGTCTCAGACAGATAATACATTGATGAATACCACTTCTTCATTCTTACATGTTGTAACATGTTTTTTGTCTTATCAACAGATTCACCAAACTGGCGCCCATGTTCCTTGATCCAAATTACAAACTATTCTCCAAGATTGGTGATTACTCGCCTCCATTTGGGGTCAAATCACAAGGTATGATTATACATTCTTATATTTGCAGATTAAGGCATTGCCATGTTGCATCGTCATATTGCTAAAGACGCCTAAATCGGACAAACCGGTTGGAGGTTGTATACTGATGAAGCATTAAGTCAGACTGGGAGGTTCTTATGAAAGTTCTGTGGGAGGTATTTGTATTTATATAGCACTTTTCTAGTCTTGATGACCACTCAAGGTGCTTTGCAGTACAGTTTGCCATTCACCCATTCACACACATTCATACAGTGCATCTGTGGCCATTCAGGATTCAGTATCTTGCCCAAGGACACTTCGGCATGCAGATGGGGAAGACTGGGATTGAGCCACTAACCCTCTGGTTGGAGGACAACCGCTCTACCCCTCAGCGACAGCCGCCCCCTAATTTGTTAATTTGATAAATTAACAACAGAAATAAACATGGGAGCGTTCACTGAAGTCATCAAGGAAATGAAAATGCAACAAGTTGAAATTAAATGGTCCATGATGACTGAAACAAGGATAAGCACTGGTATTGTCTCCAGCATATAAATCTCTGCTTAGAGACAGTTTCAGACCTACGCTGAAGTCTCGAGTTTTCTGTTAAAAAGGTAACTTACCATATCAATTTAAATTAAATCTGTTGTTTGATAGATCAGTTTTACTACTAAGCACCAGAAATAAAATGTTTGTATTCAGTCAGATACTGGTACTGTAACATTTACATTGTTACAGATAGATCCATATCTAGGTCTGATAATAGTTGCCCCATTAGTTGACCCTGAATCAGGGTCAAGTTCCCTGATCCTCCAAACACAGCAGTTGGGGTTTCCCACGTCTAAAGAGCTAGGTTGCCAATAAATAAAATGCTGTTTTACTGCATTAAAATTCTTTGCATTGTCATCCCTAGGCTCTCTTATATGGCCTAATACCATAACATTGTCACGGTACAGCCTGTGAATATGTAAAAAACTTCCAGGCAGTACTGGGAGGTGTGGTTCAGAATCCTGACCACAGCATTTCCTTTCTCTGACGTTTTACAGTCAGTGACTGGCCGGCACTGCACAGCTAATGTTACAGTAACATTACTCAGTAAGCTGTAAATAGAACTGCAGGATAAACATCACTGTGCTTTGTATTGGTCTTGTTGATATCATGCAGACCATGTAGGAATGTAATAAAAAATAGTTTAATGAATGCAGACCTGCGTGGCTTCAGTCAGGTCCCTTTGCAGAGGTTCAGTCTTTCCTGCTGCAGCTCCAGGAACTATCCTTCGCTCTCCCTCACAGATCCTGTCTGCCTCTCCCTTCTCTTCCTCATTTTCTCCCTTAGTTCAGTACAGCTCTCCATTGTTTCAGTCAGTAAATGTCAGTAAACTGTGTTAGCATTCAGCTATGTAAAGTCAGTAATAAAGCACTACCATAATGCGGTAATATATTTTCTACATGTAAACTATCAACTAGAGGTTATAGTCTCAATACACAAGTAACATTTTTAAATATACCCATCTGAAGACACCCCATCACTGGAGAGAAGACAGCTCGATGTGGTTGTCAACATTTCGATACAGGGAAGTCAAAGTAACTCTCTTTTGGATCTGGAAGGGCGGGGGTGAAGTGAGTACTTAGTTGGTTGCAATATTAGCCTCACCACTAGAGGCTACACACTTAACCTTTAATTTTACAAATGGGGATATCAGAGCACCCCTTATAAAATTGACTCAATTGACACCAATGCTGTGGACAGTGTAAAAATATCACACAACACAATGCACTAATCAGACATTTAAGTTTATTAAGTTTAGTTCAGTATTAGTTCAGTTTTTTATTGATTATGAACAATAGTGTGCAGCCTAGTGTGCATTTTTCACCACCACCCTAATAAGTCAAACCAAATGGCAAATGGTTTTTTTTTTCCAAAACTGTGACAGAACATCTGTCTCATTTGCCTCTTGTGTTGCTCCTCCCTCCCTAGTGAAGTATGTAAAGGCCCCCACCAGGCTGGGCCACCTATCTTTGATGGTTGTATAACACTGTAACATGAAGAAGTGTCAGGCCACCCAGCTGTTGGCTCCCAACCCTTCCTCATTTATCACATTACTCTTGTTGTGTTGGAGATGAGGGCGTCGTAACTGATTGCAGAAGAATTCTTTAACTTTCATCTTACTCTTTGCTTTCTATTGTTTCCTCTTTCTCTCTCTCTCTCTTTCTCTCTCTCTCTTGTGTCTACAGAGAAGATCATAGATATTCTCCTATCAGCTACTAAGAGCTATGGCCTTGGAGAAGAACTTGACAGGTATGTCTGTGCCAGTTCTAATGTCATGTTTAGTTTTTTTCTCTCATCCACTGTGTGGATCAGAAGTCAGTTTATATTGTTTCAGAGTACACATACGGCGAGGTACTCATTTTTTCAGTCCTCTTCCTTTTTTGAGAATTAATTTACTATACTTCAAGTTGTTTCTTTGCTCCACTGGCCAGCTTGTTTGCTATATGATCATCACAAATCATAATCAAATATTGTACGGGCTTTTTGGACCTAATAGGTCATCATATATTATCTCTAAAAGCGAGAAAGTCAAATTGTTACATATTCTACACAACAATGACTGTTGCGAATCATTTATTAAACTAACTGTGCTGTTGAGTAAGTTTTGTCTTTATATGGACCTCATGAGTTGCACACAAAGATACTGTGACCTGACCCTGTTTCATCAGCCAGCTGAGAGAATCATGAATTCTTTTTATTTCCCCCCCAGAATTAAGCAGAGCAAACTAAACACAGAACAGATGTTCTGCTGA